TTTGTTCCACATAGCGACGAATCCGTATAGCGACGATTTTTCCGGAACGGATTATTGTCGCTATGTGGGGCACCACTATATACAATTCATTTCATCTCATCCTTTTCTAACCAATATAGTCCTGATCTAATCTGTTCTACTTAAGTCAATGTAGATTCAATCCAGGTGTAAAGCAGTTCCCATTTGTTTTTCTCCATTCCTGTTATTCTGTCATTTAGTGTTTCTGTCAAGATGTCCATTTCTGCGAGTTCTAGAATCTTCTCAAGAAATTCCTCTTTTGTCGGTAACTTCATTCCAATTGCTAGCGTACAAAATTCTTGCTGCAGTTATCAGATGTAAAATCAAATAAACCTTTGTTGTTGTTTTTTTAATAGTGGGTGGTGTCATGTTAAATAGAAAAAACCACTGGAGTTAAAGCCATTTTAACCTGTAAATTTTTCTCTGCAATTTCATGTATCATTTTCCAGAAGTCCTTAGCCCTACTACACATCCACCAAATATGAAAACAAAATCTCTCTAATTTCTCTTCACATTTACAGCACTCATTGGATACATTTGTATACATTTTGGTTAGTTTTTCTGGTGTTATGTACCATCTGTAAAACATTTTATAAACATTTTCTTTTAAGCGTATAGATTTAGTCATTTCGATGTTTCGTTCCCATATTTGTGACAAGGCACTTATATCAATATTATAACCGGTATCTTGAGCCCATTTTACCATACAATCCTTCACAATTTCATCTTCCATTTTTGTTCCATCAAAACATTGTATAAACATTTAATCAGTTTTTCCTCTGAATCTAGCAGTCCTTTATCCAAAACTGTTTTTTCTTTATAAAACCCTATAGCTTTATCTTTTGCATACTGTGATTTTAGCTGGATCACTTTGCAAAATGGGAGACTTTTGAAAATTGAAGGGCATGACTTAAGGCTTGGCTGGAATGCTTTCCTGTGGTATCAAGATGATAAACAATGCAAAATTAAACAGAAGAGCCTTGTTGTGGGTTTGGAAAACAATCAAGGTACAACACTATAGAAAGATTCCACTAGAAGTGTTTTTTGAGCCGGTAAGAACAATACAAAATATAAGTGTGAGATAGAAGTGTTTTTGAGCCAGTAAGAACAATACAAAATATAAGTGTGAGATATGCCGAACTGTTAGATAGTAACTCTAATCTAAAGTTACTAGATGGATTGGCAGACCAGGATAATGTTCTTGATTGGTGGTCGATAACCCAGCCACCATATAATTCTGAGTATAAAAGAGGGAACACCACATGCAGCATTGAGCAGTTTAGAGAAAAAATGGTAAATAACTAATGACTACTGTCTTGCTCAGCTTGTGCTGAACAGAAAGATCTGTGAGCACAGGAATGTAGTATCACTTATAGGAACTATTGGTGCTGCATGAAAAGTTACGGATGGGAGTTTTAGATTTGTTTGGACTACAAATGCCATAATTCTCCATTCTTGGAGTTCTATCTGACAGACAGACATTTTACACAGACTTAAATGTGGTTCCCCTGGGAGAAAGCTCTAAACTGGAAGACTTTGGAGTCTTCTCAGACCTAGCGCCACCTAGCTTCCTCTTCAGAAAGAAAGTTTCCTCCTCAGCACTGGAACAGTAATAGGAAGCTTGTGAAGGAAGTCATACAGCTTTAATGGTGGGGTTCCCAAAATGGTCCTAGTGTCCGGATGAGAAGAGTGTACATTATTGCATAACTGTCATTGAAACTCACTTCATGCCAGTCAGATGTCCAAGCTTCTCTTCATTCAGTCATCTGCTCTGCAGCTTTCTTGTTGCCAGAACAACTGGATCAGGAAACTTGGGCAGAGCTAGGAATCAAGCCTTGCAGTTTAGGCATTTTCCTTAGGTGAGCCACATTTAGCTGTTTGTAAGATGTCTGTTTGTCATGTAAAACTCCCAGAATAGATAATTTTAGGAAATGCTGTAAAAAAAAAAAGGAATAGCAAAAAAAATCATTCCTTTGCAACACTGTAGTCTCATTCTAGATGGGTGGTATATAAACAAACAAACACCTCTGCAAGCAATTTGATTGGACATTATTTGTTATGGTGGGACCTTCCACTCAGTGAAAGCTTGGGAAGATACAGGTTCTAAAGCAGATGACCAAGTATATGATTGCTACCCTTGCACACCACCTTCTTTTCAGGTATGAATTTTTTCAGATTGCCTGTGATGGGTGGCATCATTGAGAGTGACAGTAAAACATCTGGAGACCATCATCTTGTCACTGTAACACACTGAACCCATCTAATTTCATCTCATTTTGAAGGCTGAACAGAGTTTATGCACATTAGTACTTAGGTGAGAAACCATCAGCTCATATTAGGGATTTTCAGAAAAGACTAGGAAAGAAATCCTGTAAAGCTACAGGTGGTCAATGTTGAAAATAGTGGCCTAAATGGCTGACTTAGTGTAAATCAGCTCCCTATATTCCCACATTCCACTGATTTGGTGTTCTGGTTCCAATAGATTATAGCTCCATGTACGTAGGTCTCTGTGTGTCTACTTATCTATGTAAATATGTTGGTCAGTGTGCCTTACTTTTCAGTTCTAAGGGAGCTCCAAGACAAGCATTAATTTATAAACAGTACATTTTTAAATCCATGAAAAACAACAGCCATAATGAATGTTAATTTTATTTCATAATATTTCAATGGTATCTTGCAACCAGAAGTATATTTCCATCATGTGGTGAAGTGTTGGATTTGCATACATTTATTCTGCTTTTCATCTCCCATGGTGCACTGATCTGATCCTTCTGGAAATGCCACAGTAGATCTTCCATTGTGAGAACACCATATAATTTAAACTTGTTTCACTTTGGTGGTTGTTTGCTTCATGCTGGATTCCATAAAGCTACAATCTGTGTCTTGAAGCACCACATATTTGAACTCTGTGTTTGCCAGTTCCATTTCTCAGCATTTCACAGCCTTTTAGTCTGTAGCCTGTGAGGACAAGTTTAGCCTTTAGCCTCAAGAAGGTCGGGGGAATAAGAAGAGCACATCCAGGGTGCACATCCTATAATTGAAAAGCACTGTGGTATTTCAAGGACTTATCATTAAGGATGGCAAATGTTGCTTTCTTGGCTGCTGGGAATGGTACAAGCTGGATTCCTTGGAAAATGTCCAGTTTAAAGCCCTAAATACTATCATTGGGAGCATTAAATTGGTCATTTTTCCTCCTCCTCATTTTGATATTATTGCAGTTATTCTGCCTTCAGTGGCCTCTTTCAGCTGAGCTGGCAGAATTCTACTGGCAAGGTGGCTTTTTGCCCTTCCAAAAGCTCTACTGCAAAAATGTTCAGGGAAATCTTGATAAGAATGAGGCTGTTGGTGGGCAGAGGATCCAGTTATATGTTTAGCACCACAAAATAACACTTAAGTTGGTGGGCAGAGGGTCCTAGTGATCATTCAAACTGAAAGACTCATGTTTTCATGCAAACCCACCATGTCTGTGAGATCTCTGGTAAAGAAAAGCTATTTAGCTTTCTGAGGCACCTCCACCAACCCAATATGATGTTCATTTTAACAAAGCCAGCTAAACTATTTTGACACATCAGCCAGAAAATCCAGCATGTGCCTTTTGCTGTCTCTGGTAGCAAACATAAAATAATATCAAAATAGGTAAGTAATAATTTGCTGCTCTTTTGTGGCACCAGAAGACTGTTGTGCTCATTGCAGGGCTGGTTCTATGCTGCCAACCTTCTACCTCAATTACAAATACTATACTTCATATATTTCTGTATCCCTTAAATAGAATTTCACATGTCTTTTGCAAGCTACTTTTGTGTAACTTTTTGCCAGGTAATGCCAACTTTGGCTGATTCCTTTTTCTTTTTAATGAAAAGTAATGTTTCTTTTTTTGGGGGGGGATTCAATTTAAAAGTGAGGTGGGGGGTGTCATCTCCTTCCCATTCAGAATCTGCCCCTCTTCCCAGGTTCCAGATATATGTTTAGCACCACAAAATAACACTTATGTCTCATGCGTGTAGCATGTATTGTTGGGATCAAGAAAATGGCTGCCACGAAAGGTTCACTCTATTATCACATGCCCCCTCCTCACGATAAGTATTGCTTCTAAGGACTACGTGGTTAGGCTCTCAATCACAATCACAGTATAATTAGTATGGTTCATATCCATTGTTAATAGATTGCCTGTATGTGTAATGAAATTGTTGTTAGTTAATTAATCATCGTTATTGTTCCCATGATAGCAGCCTGCCTAGGGGTGAACCTGTGTTTTCCTTAGGAGAGGATAATTCTCTGTTTGAATGGCACACCTCTCAGTTTGAAGGCTTCCTTTATTTGAGAGGCTGTTCAATTTAAGCCTTGTTAAAGATAAAGAGTGAACTGGCTAGATAGCCAATGGAGTTCGAATACCAGGATTATGAATTCCATTCTCCACTTTGTCTCCCAGGAGCACAGCCACTCCGTTTAGCCTTAAGCAAACTGCATGAAACAACCCCAGACTAAGGGAGTGGGAAGCTACTTCTGAGTACTCCCTACCTAAAAAACCCTGAAACAGGTCAAGATAAGTTGAAATAAACTTGGCAGCATGTTAATCATCCTAGGCCTCAGATAAGCAGAGATAAGGCTTAGCCTAGGCTGCACCTCACCTTTGCTTATCTCTTTGGCAGCAACTGTGCTTCCAAAAAAGTGGAACTGCAGCCATAGCAGAGAAGTAGGTGAAATAAAACAAGCTGCCCCTGATATCTCCAGCCACGCCAGTCCTTTGAGCATCCTAACATCTAAGCTAGGATTTGCCTAAACTCTTTTTGTGGCATGTATCCACCTATTTCCAACCAATCTGTGAAACTCACCTTCCCCATCCACAATTTCTTCTTGTGGTTCTCATTCTTCTCTTACATTTTCCAGATTCAGGCTTTTGTACCTGTTATGATTCCCTTCAGGACAACTATCAGATGACAAGTGACTGCATTGTCCCTTCCGTATACACTCTTTTTCTGCAGACCCATTCTAAGAACTGAGGATGAACATGAGGCAGTGTATAAGACAATGAAAATTATACCCGACATCAGTGCGCAACTTTCTGAGGCAGAGATGAGGGAGCTCAGTAAAACTGTAATAAGGGAATACTGGGTGAAAGGAAGTACAGGTAGGCTTCATATTGTCATGTATTACAATGTTTGTTAAAAACCTGCTTGTTTCTCTTAAGCAGCCTTTCTTGATCAGGTGCTCTTGAACACATCTGAGGTTGGAGAAGGTGCCTTGACTCACTAAACTAGGTGTGTGTCTTACATGTGTTAGTAAATTTTATCTACTGTTAACATATTTCTTTTGTGTGGTCAACAAGTACTGAAAAGAGCTCCTAATTTTCACATCAGGCTTATAAATAGACCACTTTCCTGATCCACCCCCCATCTTTTACTTTTCTGTTTTCTTTTTCCAATGTTGACTTACATGACATGGAGGCTAGTTTGTCTTTGCCTGTCCTAGCTTCCAGGCTCAAGAAAATTGCCATTACTGTGTTAGAAAAATGTATGCAAAAAAACTGTTTATCAGGCTTTGTGGTGTGGCATTGACCAATGATTAGATTTACTGTGTTAGAAAAATGCATGCAAAAAACTGTTTATCAGGCAGTGTGGTGTGGCATTGACCAATGATTAGATTCTTAGTTTCTTTTTATCTATAAAAAGGAATTTTTAAATGATTAAATTGCCTGTTTTTCACATGCTACCTGTTTCCTATCCATCAAATCCTTTCTCAAAATGTTATGTTTATGCTCTTAATCTTTATTCCCAACTGGAATCAAGAGCATATCCACATTACACAGGGGCAACACTTAGATATCAGTTCAATTGCTGTGTCTCCGTGCTACAGAATTTGAGGGGAAGGGATTTCATCGGGAAGCTACTTAGAGATCTTCTTCTGAGGGATCTCAATTCACAAGCAGCGAATTCTTAGAATTTGCATAGAATAGAAACATTTAATATACAAACACACGTGTGTCCTATTAGTGTGTGTGCATGTATATCTATATGCGTTTATGTAGAGGATACATATGTTTATAGAAAATGTTTACAGAATTAAAACAGGTGTGGCAGTTAAAATGGTGTCAAGCTGTTAGAAATGTGTCACATGTAGAGATGGGCATGAATTGCTGGTGATTCATAATGGTTCATTCTTTGGATGCACAGGTGTTCCATGGATGTGCCGGATTGCCTCCCCTGCCTTCTCCAGTAGGTACCCACTCAGATGCGTAGGCAGGGCAGGGAAGCCAAGGATGCTATCTCTGAGTGGGCATCGGCTAGGGGAGGCAGGGGAGGAAAGATGAGATGCCCGTGGAACACCTGTGCACCCAAAGAACAAATCATTACGAACTGGCGAACCAGCAGTCTGTGCCCATCTCTGGTCTGATGCACACTCCAGACATCAATTCGTGTTCACATTAACTCACATGCTTCCTTCTCTCTCTTTGTCTATCTCTCCCTCTCCTTATTGGTTCCCCATTATTTCTTTTATGCTGTAAACTATTTGCAGGCAATAACCTGCCTGTATGTCTCATGTACTTCCATGAGGTTCCATGTGCATTGATGGCATACAAAATAACATTTCTTTTGTTTTGTGCAGCCTCAAGTTGCCATTACATAAAATGCTATATTTATTTACATTTATAATCCATTATAAAATATGAGCTTACCTCCCTGAATGTGTTATTAAGGAAGGATAAGCAACCTGATGCCATGTATGTTTTGCATTTCAATTCCCATCAAGTCTGGCCAACATGGCACAATGCCTGAGATTACAAGAATTGTCATCTCAGACATCTGGAAGGCACCAGGTTGTCTGTTCTGCATTAAAAGAGAAAGGAGACCATGTAGGGAGAAGTGAAGAGACTTAACTTAAGAATCAAACTATATATGCTGGCACCAGGGGACCTAGAACTATCAGGCACCTTGCTGGTTTCCCCTTCAAATCCTAAAGATTGGAAAGTTTAATTTGTTGTTGTTGTTTTTTAAAAACCCTAAGCAGTTACATTTATATCTGTGAGACACCAAAAGTAGTTAGAATTATAATTACAGCTTTGGAAAGTAAGTCTTCAGTTTCCTATTTCTTGAAAATCATGAAAATGAATTCTTTATGCTTCCTTAAGAATACATAGAAATGATACAAGCTGCTGGCTGAAGGTACAAAGCATATTCACTTCCCATCCACCCACAACAGACTGTAATGATTGAATCATGTGATATTCTTTACCTATCATTTTGAGAAGCTGCAGAATTATAAAAGTAAGCAACAGTTGCACTGCAAAGGAATTAAAATTATTCCTTGTGAAATTACAAGTGTATACCTCCTACTGTAGGCACCCTTCAGTCTCAGGAGACTATGGTAACATGCTCTGAATAGAGGTCTTGGAACAGCATCTAGTGTGGCTGAGAAAGCCAATTTGAGAGTGACAATCCCTTCCACACTGAAGACAAATACAATCTGTCCCCTGTCCAGCTCCCTGATTTTGCTGCTTTCAGGACTGCCTCTTTGCCTCGGCATGTTGAACAAGTGTTTCTTCAAATTGGAGAGGCCATATATGAATGCTCAGATGTCAGGGTTTCCCATCTGTTGAGGTCCATTCCTAAGGCCTTCAGATCCCGCTTGCAGATATCCTTGTATCACAGCTGTGGTTTCCCTCTGGGGTGTTTTCTTTGCACTAATTCTCCATACAGGAGATCTTTTGGAATCCAACCATCAGCCATTCTCACGACATGCCCAAGCCAACATAGTCATCGCTATTTCAGTAATGTATACATACTAAAAATTCCAGCTTGTTCTAGGACTACTCTGTTTGTAACTTTGTCCTGCCAGGTGACACCAAAAATGCATCGGAGACAACACATATGGAAGTTGTTCAGCTTCCTCTCCTCCCATGCACAAAGTATCCAGGACTCACTGCAGTACAGGAATGTACTCAGGATACAGGCTCTATAGACTTGTATCTTGGTATATGCCGTCAGCTTCTTATTAAATCATACTCTCTTTGTGAGTCGAGAAAACATAATAGCTGCTTTGCCAATGTGTTTATTATATCTCCATTCCTGAGGAAAATAACTAATCATATGTAAATAGTTACATAGTTTTCACCAATTTGGGGGCCATTTCTTCTAGGGAAGAAAACAGAAAGAATAATAATTTGTGATATTTTTTTTGCTCTCTCTTGAAAGTGGTGCCAAACTAGTCCCCAGGGAGAAGAGTGTGAATGGATGGCAAAGTGGGTGAGAAGGAGGTGAGCCCATTCAGAGTCTTGCCCATGCAAAGGGAATTCAGCTTGTTATTTCTGTTTTTATGTATCCAACCTTTCTTCATATCACCAACTTATCAAACTTAATTTCCACCTCTTGACCCACTTCCCTCTCTGAGCAAGGTCATTCAGAATGCTCAGCCCATCTTCTATTGAGTCTGTAGTGTCACCTGGGATTTGTATATCATCCTTGTTAAATCCAGATTTCTACCAATTAGCAATGACTGCATAGCAACAGTTTAGACAGCACCCCCCCAGTGTTAAATTACACAATACATTAAATACATACAGTAGGAAGCAGCTGAGCTCTCATTTTCTTTTTTATGGATAAGTGGGGGTCCCCTCTATTTTGGACTGAGATATATGCATGGAGGTATGAAAAGTTTTAACCTTACCCATCTTGTTGTACATTTTCCTAAATTCACCTGCTACCTGTATGCAGGAGCTAAGCAAAGCAAAAAGCAAAGTCTTCTGCTTTTATATTGCCCCACAGTACTCAAAGCATTCTCTGAGCAGTTTACAATTTAATTATGTAGGCTACACATTGCCCCCACTCCAGCGAGCTGGGTACTCAGTTTGCCAACCTCAGAAGAATGGAAGGCTGAGTCAACCTTGAGCTGGCTACCTGAGGCCATCGGGATCAAATACAGGTCATTTTTTTATTTTTTATTTTTAACAAGAGGATGACAAAAAGGAAAAGGGGAATTGAGGTTAATAGGGAAGAGGAGAAACAATAACATACTAACGTCCATTCTATACCTATTGCCATATCAAAATTCCAAATTATTCTTTTTACTATTTTCTGCCTTCCAGGTTTAAGTTCTCGTTTCAATATATGCTCTTCATACGCTGCCTGTTGTTTCAGTCCATTTGTAGAGTAAGTCCCATCTTTCTGTTGCCTTTTGTAAAGGACAGTCCTTC